AACATTTGTATGGTCAATAGTGACCCAAAGTACGTTACAAGACATCGATGCACGAACTCCTACAAAAATCCCTACAATGCCTATTGATTGAGATGACAATAATGGAAATCAGCAGTCAAAGATCTATCTTTGCAGCAAATGCAGTCAGCAAACCCACCTAAGATTGGTGAAAGGTGGGTGTTATACGAGAACAATGGGTCTTCTGCAAATACCTTCAGGAGGTCGTAGTGGATACAACAGTCCTCTGCCGACGAACACAAGCAACTTGTGGATAACAACAGTGTGTATGTCGTATGCACAACGAACCACTGTGGGCATAAGTACGGATATCTTCCTGGTCCTGTAATCAAGAAGAAACTAATTCTGGCATCCACAAATATCAGAAATAATAAATCCACCACATTAAAGAGCTTGAAAGCTCTCTTTAAAGCTGTGGTCATTGACTTCAAAGACCAGAAAATTTTTCCCAGTGATTGAGAAATGGGGAGACAATAACAAGATGAGGAGATGCCTCATAACATCAAGATCATAACGCCACCGGATCTGCAACACTTATACGAGCAGACAGAATGCGTCTACAACCTACAACGCCACGCCATCGGATCTGCAACGTTCGTACAAGCAGACAGAAGGCGTGTATAAGCTCTTCAAGAAAATGTTGTGCATTCAAATAACAAATACATGCACAACTACAAATATTTCAAAGTACCCCTACACGTGCACCGTAGTTTATATACACATAAGTACACAAGGGGTAAATACAATATCAACCCGCATGGGCCCCGGCGAGCGTGCTATTGGTACACACGTGACGCCTAGGGATGCTACGCGGGTTGACAAGTGAATTCAAGTTCGGACCTGATCCTTTTATGCGGATCAATAGAAGTCGACAGGGCTCGAACCTTCAAACGAATACATGGTTATGGGGATCGAGGTATTTGTTTCAATACATTCATATTAGGCCTTCAAGGCCTACAATCAAGAAAATTCATAAACAAAGGCACAAAGCCTACAGGGAACCCGATCCTCTGTCGACAGCTAGATAGAGTCGACAAAGTTCAATCTAGACAAGAGAAATGACCCCGAACACCCCGATGATGGCCGTGTTGAATGAAAATCTCAACCGGAGGGGTCCATTCCAAATATTTTCATAATGCCACCCAAATGCCCATCAAAATAAAAAAAATTCAAAACTCCACAAAAATCCCAAAGAAATTAAAAAAATATTTAAAATTTGAAATCAAACTATCAAACACTTAAAGCAAACTTCATCCACCCTCCGCAACAGTTTGTCGGGGTGGACAAATTGAAAAATACTTCAGCTCACAAAGAGCCAAATGCCTAGTCGAAAATATCACTAGGATTTATTCTCAAACAGCCTCCTGCCAGTAAGGACGTGGTACGTGTCCTCTAAACGGCGATTTGCTGCCAAATGGCACCGCAGGATAAACGGTTACGATGACCCGGGGCCCTCTAAACCAAGTGGTTTTGCCGCCAAATGACACCACATATACCGGTTATGGCCAGCGCCAATACGTTCCTTATTGGCATCAAATCTTTGAGATATGAATCAATAGGATATGATCGATATGGCATAAAGCCCTCTGTTAGCTAAGGTGGATTCAAATTTGTCCCCTTAGACAAACATATAACCCAGGTCTACAAGGTCCCCTTGGACGAATGAACCCATGGCTGCCGACAAGGATGCTTCTGTCAGGTTGGGTCGACTACCTCCTCTGACTAAATAGACCAGGGACCACGATGGTCCTGGACGACGGAACCATGGGATCTTGATCGGGCCCATCATGCATTCCCCCACAATCCGCTTTAAGTGCAAGATGGTGAAATGTCTGTTTTAAATATCAAACTCTCCATATTCTCAAATTCAAATCTAGTTCTCAAATACCCAAACCCATGCTGCTACTATATGCCAGATAACATGTATCTCTATACATATCTGATTGACGACTAGCCTTAATCGAAAGTTCTCACTCGTTACCTGGAGGGGTAATTAACTATAGGGGCTTGCGCCTATAGGAAACCAGAACTCAGATCATAAAGTCCTCGCAAAATGAGGGCGAAATCTCTGGGTAGTGTCTTATCTACAAACCCATCTGCCTTACAAAATTTACCCCGGAACTTATTCCGTTAAAACTCCTTCGCTTAAGCAAAAGCAAACAATCACAGCACGGCGGGGAGGTCGGGGCCGAATTTTCGGAGCCCACAACTTGGTTTAATTATAAAATGCCCATAAACCTGCATGGGCCCTGCCGAGCGTGTTATTGGTACACACGCGACGTTTAGGGATGCTGCGCGGATTAATAAGTGAATTCAAGTTCGAACCCGATCCTCCTATACAGATCAATAGGAGTCGATAAGGTTCGAACCATCAAACAAATATACGGTCTCGTCGACCGGTATATTTATTTTAATACATTTATATTAGGTCTTCAAGGCCTATAATCAAGGGAATTCACTAATAAAAGCACAAAGTCTATGAAACTCGATCCCCTATCGACAAATTGATAGGGTCGACAGGGTTTCAATCAACAAAGAAATAACCCCTCACATCCCGATGATGGCCGTGTTGAACAATAAATCTCAACCGGAGGGGTCCATTCCAAATACTCAAAATTCAATCCAAATATCCACGAAAATCGAAAACTTCAGAAATTCCCAAAATTCAAAAATATTTAAAATTAAAATCAAACCATCAATCATTTAAAGTAAACTACATCCACCCTCCGCAACAGTTTGTCGAGGTGGACAAATTTGAAATATAACTTCAGCTCACATAGAGTTAAGTGCCTAGTCGAAAATATCACTAAGATGCATTCTCAACCAATATCATGCTAGTAAGGATGTGGTACATGTCCTCTAATCAGCAGTTTTGCAGTCAAATGGCACCGCAAGATAAACGGTTATGACCCGAGGACCTGTGAACCGAGTGATTTTGCTGCCAAATGGCACCACGAAATATTGGTTATGGCCAGAGCCAACACGCTCCTTATTGGTATCAAATCCTTGAAATATGAATCAATAGGATATGATCAATAGGGCACAAAGCTCTCTGTTAGCTAAAGGTGGATTCAAATTTGTCCCCTTAGACAAACATCCATCCTAGGTCTACAAAGTACCTCTTGGACGAAGCAACCCATGGCTGCCAACAAGGCTCCTTCTGTCAGGTTGGGTCGACTACCTCCTCTAACTAAGTAGACTAGTACAAATGCATAGACAAGTGATCCTGTGGGAGCATAGGTGGATAAACATTTAAAGCCCTTCCAGAGTCTAAAACCTCCATTGTTTAAAGAAGAGGTTGATGCCAGAAACGCTGATTGGATCATCAGGATAAGGAAAGTTTTAAATGGAATGAGATGTCCTGAGAATTGACGGGTGTCTTTAGCAATCTTTATGTTAGAAGGTGAAGCTGAGAGGTGGTGGAGAAGACAACATCCGGAAAAGTTCAAAGGAAGAGCGAATGATCAAATTACCTGGGAGGAAGTTGAGTAAGTTTTGAAAGAGTCGTATGTATACAAACTCAGAGAAAAAGAGACAAAAAGAGATTATTTTTGTGCATTCAACTTCGCTGCATAAATCTTATCACCATGCTTCATCATTATTACTGTCTCATGCGTGCATGTATACAAAAATTGCAAACATTAAAACTCCTAAAATCTCAATATTGGTGCGTTTGTCGCGATGAGCGAAATCTGTGTATACTTTTCTTAGTATAGTAGGGGAATATCATAGACAACGCTTGTGATACAGCAGGTAAGCCCTTTGTGTATTTTTCTTAGCACGGTACAAAAAATATACATTGTAAAATTCTCATGCACGTAATTCTTGGCATAGTGAGTTTTGAGAAGTTTAGTTGTGATGACTAGGACACAAACTATCTGCATCTTTCTTGCCATGGTGTGTAAGCCCAAACTTCTTGTAGATTCTCCCTAAGAGGAAGAGACATTGGGAGGCATTTGGAATTTATATTGTTATGGGACCCAAATAACACAAAAAAAAAACGTAAATGCAATAAAAAGGACAAATGAGCAAAATGTAAAATTGCATAATCATAAAATGAAAATCAAATAGCAAAATATGAAAAAGTTTGAACATAGAAATTGAGCAGGAAGAGGGTTTATAAGGGACTTGTAATGAATTTGAATAACTTGCTTGCAAGCAAGAACAAGACTCTTACTTCATGTGAACACATAGAAATCTCAGGAGTAAGAGGCTAAATGAAATTGAATGTGAAAATGAACTTACGAACCCTTCTATTTATAGGGGGAGAAGGGATTGGTTGTGGAGGCCTATCACATTAAAATCCAAGCATGTGAAGACAAAGAATTACATCATTGAAAATGCGAAATATTGTAATTCTTGAAAATCACTACTAGATCTGCAACTTAAATATGCAAGTGACAGTAAGCATTCTTTAAAACTCAAAATGAAATTTTGTATGCATAATAATGACCAAACATTCATGCAAACAAGAAAATTCAAATATTTTTAAATATTTATGAACATCAATATATTGGGAAGTGTGATAGTGCATTGAAAGCTGTGTAAGCACATTGAAAAACATCTATGCCATTCAAAAACATATCAATTTGTCCGCATGTACTCTAACAAATATGTTAAGCGTATAAACTTAAAAGTGGAGGTATTTTGATCCGAAGGAAGCTCATATATATATATATATTTAAGATGTAGCATGCAGTTGATAGATCATGTCCGGTGTAATTTTGTTTCACATATAGAGCAGCATGAGAAGGGACTAGGGTGTTTCTCATTGGTTTTTACACTAAGGCCTTCATTTATTTTGGAAGGCTTATTTTCTCTTTTGATTTTTCGACTGATTCTTAAATTCATCTTTATTTTCTTTATCATCGCATTGAGTACTATTTTATTTGCTAAACGGATGACCTATTCGACATTTTGCTGTCAAAATAATCTGTGGTTTTGCAGAACTAACTGAAATTAAGTTTTCATAACACTTGCAGAGAGCACATGCACTTTCCACTGTTGAAGGTTATAGTGGTTATGGAGCAGAACAAGGTGATAAGGTGTGTCAGTTCTTCAGTTGCTCACACATTATTTATCTTTACAAATTGTTTATGGTTGATGATGAACTTGTTGGGAAATAATTTTTCCTTGAATACTTTTATTAAAATCCATTCTTTGCCCATGTAAGCATGTGATGGGATTAGATCTAGTAGATGCCTACCAGGTGGGCAATTCTCATAGAGCTATTAGGATTGATAGAATGATTGATATTACCAATTTCTGACACATCATAGAAAAATGCTACTTAGGAGACCCTCTCTTTAATCTCACACTCGCTTTCAAAAGCAAGTTTTTTCTCTCATTTTTAGATTTTGAAAGTTTAATGATTGCGAGTAACTTACCTAAGTGCATAGTGCACGAGTACCTATACACATGCTAAAAACTGCAATGTGGACTTGTCTTATCGCTAGGGAAGCTGGTTTTACTGTTTTTATGTCTGTTAGTATAGAGGATGCTTATCTACTTGAATTATTTCCATTGGCTGAGAGACACCAAATTTTTTTTTTCTAATTTCTTTGATATTTACATTTGGCCGCATTATTTGTTTGATTGGTTTTTATTTTGGCTTTATATTTGTTTCATTGGCCAATAAAGCATAAACTTTTTGTGTGAATAAAGCTATAGATGATAATATTGATGTCCACCATCCTATTGCTTTAAGAAAGGGTGCTCCAAGCACCCAATCTTTGATTTTGTGATATATAAAGGAGTTTCATCTAGATTTCGTGCTTTTGCCACTTATCTTGATAAAATGCAGATTCCAAACAATGTACATGAAGCTCTCACAACCCCAAAGTGGAAGAAAGTATAATGAAATAAATCTAGGCCTTAGACTAGAATGGTACGTAGGATGTTTATAAACTTCCACCAATGATTGTTTATAGTCAAGCATGAAGCAAATGAGATCATGGTTAAATTTATTAGCAATTTTAGTTCTTTGGATTGTCTATTACTTATACACAAATTTCTTATTAGTTATTTTAGTGCTTTGGATTTTTTTCTAAAGAAGTGATGCGTCAGACATTTAATTTTGTGAGAATTAATTTGTTTGTTTGTCAATTTTATTTGCGTCAAAATTCTTGATAAAATCCTCGGATGTTTACGATCATTTCATTATCGATTTAACTTAATGACTGCTATTGCTTGTTTTCAGTTAAAGAAAGTGAGGATTGATTACATGCAATACATGAATTTTATTTTTTTCTTTACATGATAGTTTACTGTTCATCATATGATTTGTGTTAGAAAACTAACCTAGAATCTTCCTGCATCACATTTTTTGCAATTAATGACTGTTAACAGCTAATAATTCCAGCTACTCCAAATCAAATTAATATGATGGTCATTAAATGCAGATTTTAACTATAATCATTAGAGTTTATAGTTCTCCAAGCATTATGAGGCTTGGTATATGAACATTATTTGTTATATTGTTTAAATAAGATGGTTTATTTTATTTATTTGTTTTTTTTTTTTACAATATTTTTGCAATGTGATTCTCACTTGGTTTATTGATGAATGTTTTAGGAACTGAGAGCTGCTATAGCTTCAACTTATTATGGTCCTCTTGGCATTGATGAAGCTGATATATTTGTTTCAGATGGGGCAAAATGTGATATTTCTCGTCTTCTGGTTTGTATTTCTTACTGTAGATCATTCTTATCTTTCTTGAATGCTGTCAGGATTGTACAATTGCTTATGATTTTTTATTTTTTTGTCTGCCAACCTCATCCCTCTATTCTTGCTGTCCTCTATCATAAGATGATTGGGCTCTGAGGTGGATTACATGTGATTTCAGTGATATATAGCCCGCCCACCTTGGATTGAATGGTTTTATTGTTTTTTCAGCTGCTTTTTGGAGCCAGTGTGAAGATAGCAGTGCAGGATCCATCATATCCGGTAAGCTTATCATTTCAACATATTAGTACCGTGCAGATTATATCAAATATGACCTAATTCATTTCCTTTTTGTTAATGGTGTAACTTTGCACTTTTGCTTAATGTTATAGTTATGGCGCTTTCATTGCCTTATTTAGATATAAAAAATAATCAAAAGAAATTGTTGTCTTAGGTTTAGTGAGATTTAAAAAGTTTGGATTTGTTAATATGTTTAGGGTGTTTCCATTCCCCTATTCGAAATATAAATGCAGATTGGAAGTAGAAACTATGTGTCAATCAGAACTATAAAAAAAAATCCGTTAGCGTAGAGAAAATGAAAATTTAAAAACTTCTACAGATAATTGTACATTACATATCAAGTTGAGGATTGCAAGTAATACATGAGCAACTGATTTAAGACATGTTATGCAACATGACCGGCTTTTGGATTCATCTAACCATGTGCAATTATGGCTTAGGCTCGCCCAACAAACGAATCATGCAGATTCAGTCGCTTTAAACACCATATAATTGCTTGAATAACTAGGTTGTCAAATACATAAAACTTGGAAAATAAAGAGGAATTTAGCTTGATAATACTACAAGCTTGCAAATCTGAGTCCACCAAAATAATACAAATATATGAGTAGAAATGAGGTGTTTGGCTAGTTTGATTTTTATTGCCACTTATATAAATAGCCATTGGGTGTTTTCCCTGCTTCAAGAATAAGCTTGGCATGAAGACTTGGATTCAGTGCCCTTTTATCTCTAGCAAGCACTAAAAGGTGTCAAGCACGGCTCAAATTTCCTCCTTTTTTGAATCCCCTTGTTGAAATAATAAAAATGTGTAATAATAATAATGAACATTAGGAGTATATACTAGTGCAAGAATTAATCATGTCTAAAGACAATTGTGATAAGATATTTATATGTTAATGTATAACAAAAAAAAAGGGTGAGACATAGGAAGAAATAACTGAAGCCACGTCGTCCACGTTCTAAGGATAACTGTTGTTCAATTCATGTTAAAAAAAAAGGCAGGGAGGGAGAAAGAAAAGGCTTACCTAAAATTCAGCTTCCCCGGTTCGTTTTGCGCCAAGTTCTCTTGCAAAAATGAAGTCTTCCGTTCGCCCGAGCCCCTAGTTGCGTAAATCACACCGTGTGAAGCCCCTAACCTTTGCATGTTCCACGCACAGGCGGATTCCGACCCAATTCCTGCCGCACATTCGTCCTTCTATAGCTAAATCCGACAAAGCCCACACGCCTCCTCTGCCTCGTGAACGGCCATTCTGTAATAACCAGTTTAGCTGGTAGAAGAGTCGCGAAAGGGAGAGGCGGACCGAGCGGAGCGTAACCGCTCGTGTGCGAATAACCTTCATACGGACGCATTTTTCGTTTCTAAGCAAAGGAATACATCCGTGAAGAAAGAAGAACAGCTCCTTATACAGAAAAGTTTAGTTTAATCCATTCCTATAAAAGAAAACGCAGAAGAGAAGTTTAGTTTCATCCATTCCTATAAAAGAAAATGCAGAAGAGAAGTTTCTTTTGAGAGAGACGATTGAGAAGAGTAAAATGAACTAAGTTATGTTGATTTTTTTCTTATTCTACATAAATTCTCTTATATTATCTCTGTTAAGCAGTCATTCTACATAAATTTTTTTATATTATCTCTGTTAAGCAGTGAGGGATTTTTCATTTAGGGTAAAAGAAGAGATTGGAAGCGGAAAGGAAGAGATTTGGAAAGAAAAGAAAGAATTCAAAAATTTTTATTTCGAAAGTGGAATAAAGAATAAATGAACTATTAATTGAGTTTAATTTAGATATGAATTTATATTCTTAATTTCTAATTGAAGAAATAATCATTGCATGATGTATTAAATTAATGTAAGCATCGATAATGGTTCAATAGAGAAGGAAGGAAATCTGTTATATGGCAATCTTATAGAAGGAATCAAATATTTGTTGAAGCATTCAAATTGGAATTTAATACTACCTAAATTATTGTTATGGTGATCAGTTCTCACTAGACATTTGCAAGAGGATGTACCTTGGTGTATGCTTTTTGCTGATGATATTCTTCTTGTTGATAAGACTGGAGAGGGAGTTGAAAGTAAACTTGAATTATGGAGGTCAATATTAGAGACTAAAGGTAGATCTAAAACAGAATATATGAAGTGTAATTTTAGTAGTAATAGACCTAGTGAGGGGATTGTGACTTTGGGCGATCAAGTCATTAATAAGAGTACACGTTTTAGATATCTTGGATCTATTGTTCAGAGTGATGGTGAAATTGAGGGAGATATTATCAGCAGAATTCAAGTTGGATGGTTGAAGTGGAGGAATGCATCGGGCTTGTTGTGTGATAGAAAAGTACCCCTCAAACTTAAGGGAAAATTATATAAGATGGTAGTGAGGCCTGCAATGCTTTATGGTGTTGAAGGTTGGCCATTAAAAGAGAAGCATAATACTAAGTTAAGTGTGGCAGAGATGAGGATGCTCAGGTGGATGAGTGGCTTTACCCTTAGAGATAGGATACGAAATGAGCATATACGTGAAAAGGTTGGAGTAGCTTCAGTAGAAGATAAGATTAGAGAGAGTCGCCTTAGATGGTTTGGTCACATAAAACGGCGGCCTTCCAATGACCCGGTTAGGAGAGTAGAGATATTAGATTTGACTTATGTTAAGAAAGGTATAGGCAGACCTAAAAAGACTTGGTTAGAAAATATTAGGAATGACCTTTCTTTATTAGATTTAAATGAGAATTTGACCTTTAATAAAAACACAATGGAAAAAAAGGATTCATGTAGCCGACCCCACGTAGTGGGATAAAGGCTTGTTGTTGTTGTTGTTGTTGGTGGTGGTGGTGATCAGTTCTCAATACAAGATGAAGATTGAAAAAGGAGAATAAAGTGGGTAAATTATGTTATTTCATGATTTTATTTTATGCATAGTGTTTTCAATATTGATTATTGGCATAAATTACAAATGTTGAAAGTATAAATATTTCATAATTTTATAGTTTTCTGATCAATTGCATCGTTTATAAATGTTTGAAAGTTTCTTTAAAATTAAAGGTAATATTTTATGTAAGATATACAAATGTAAAATGATTAAATGGAAAAATGGAAAATGGAAAAGAAAAGGAACGACAAAAGTTATAATTGTGAAAGAAAATAAAACATATGTAAATATAACAAGAAAAATGATATGCATGCAAATTACAGGAGTTCACCCCCGTATGGTATTGGCTTGGGAAGCATCGTACCCGTGCATGTAAAAGAGAAAAGGTTATGAAAAAGAAAAATGAAATAGAAATGGTTGTTCCTTTGGTACTTTTAAACGGTGCTCCTGTACAAAATAAATGAGAAAAAGAATACATGTTAAAGTAAATGATATAAATGAATATGATATAATATTTATAAAGGAATAAATGAAATGAAATGAACCAAAGAAAGAAAATATATTTCAAATGTTAAATGAATAAACATATATCAAAGGTTATATGTATTGTAATTTATACATGTTAACTATTTTAACAGTTATCCACTGAATTTACTTTGTAAACTCATTTCATTAAATAAATATTTTCAGGTAAGACTCTAAAGATTTAGAAATGGCCGGAATGGAGGAGTATATCTATAGAAGACGGCGTGGTAATGAAAACAAGCAATTTATGATTTATACAAATGTTAAGTATTCGAGGAAATTATGAAGTAGTGGCTATTCAATTGTTTTTAAGAAAGTCGTATGTTGTGTTATGTATGAATTGTACTGAATTATTCTGCTGTCCAACTTTTAGTTCCTGCCTCATTAAATCGAGCATCTAAGTCAGGTCGTGACAAAAGTGGTATCAGAACTCAATTAGGATATGAATCATACTTGAAGAGTCATTATGATGACTATTGATGATTTAATGTAAAATAAATTATTTTTATTGAAAAACCAGAACCAAAATGATTTTGAAGAAGAGGAGGAAGAGGAAAAACGACCGGTGCCTAATGTTAATGTTAACCCTGATGCACTGACACAAATGATGACAACTATGGCTTAGTTGATTCAAGACTCAAGGAATCAAACATCAAGAAATAGCAGTGGGGGTGGAATGACTATGGATAAATATTTAAAACTGCTTCAAGATATGAGACCACCATTATTTAAGGGAGTATATGGACCAATTGAAGCTGAAAACTGGTTAAAGAATTGAAAAGATTTTAGAAGGAATGTTCTGTCCAAAGGAGAGGAAAGTTTCTTTGGCAACCTTTGTGCTTGATGGAGAAGTTGAAAGGTGGTGAGAAGTTAGCATAAAAAAAACTGGAGGAATTCCTGATATGCAAATTAAGTGGGGATAATTTTATATAAATGTTCAGAGATTGGTTTGTACCTCTTTCTGCAAGGAGGCAAATGCAAGATAAATTTATGAGACTTGTGCAGGGTGATAGATCAATTATGCAGTATGAATATGAATTTATAACATTATTGAAATATGAGCCTCAATTAATACATACTGCAGAGGAAAAGTGGCATTGCTTCTTATCTGGATTGAAGGATGTAATTAGGCAGCATCTTGTTTCACTTGGAATTGAAGATTATTCAGTGCTGGTAGAGAGAGCTAGGAGGGTAGAAATGGTCCTGCAAAACAATCAAAAGAGATGTGAATTTCAGAAGAGGAAAAATGGTGAGGTTATGGGAGCTTCTCAAGATTCACATAGCAAATCCCTTTCACATGCTAGAAAGTTTAATTAGAAGAAGACAAAGTCTAGTAGCAGTGATAATTCAAGTGTGAACAATTGCAAAATATTTATCTGATGCAAATAAGCAAACAAAAGTCAACATGTCATAAATAAAATTAATATCGAAAAGAGTAAATCTAACTACTACATGTAGAACAAAGTACTGGAAAACATGTAAAGAGCAAACAATAGTACTAAAGTAGAGTAACAAACTACTGTAGTAGAAAAAGCTTTGAGCACAAAATAATAAGTACACTACTGAAAGCTATGGTAGAAAATAATTGTTGGCAAATAAGTGTCAAAATAACAACTGTTAACTAGTAAGTGCCAAAGTAATAAACAAACCGTTAGAAATAGGTGAAAACTACATTCTAGTGTCAAACTAGCAAACAACTAAAAACCTGTGGGCTACTTCTAAGCTAAACAGTAAGACCCGCGTGCTAGAGAAATTCTAAATGAACAACCCTAGATCCAAAACTCGAACCCTTACGGGCAGGCTTGTTTATAAGAATTAGGTTGGAAGATCCACCAACCGACAACTTTAAATGAAAGCCATAAGTCTGACTTTAGGGGTAATCTTTAGGCAAAAATGACCTAACCCCTAATCCCTGATTGAAACCCGGGCATTTTGGTCTATAGGGCTAAGTTGTAAAGCCCACTGTATGGGTCACTTAGCTTACATGGTTAGGACGTAAGATCCATCATCAGGCAACTTCTAAGGAAGCCATAAGACCTATCCAATCAAAACTCTTGGGCATCTTAGGCCATAGGGCTAAGTTATCAGGTCTGCTGCTTGGGGCACCTCTAATAGAGATCATAAGACCCACTATTAGGGCTACTTTCAAATAAAAGCGGTAAGACTCGGTCCAAATTCAATCACACGAGCAACTCTTAAGCTGTTCCATAAGCCCCAATCCAAACCAAATTAAACTAAAATCCACATTTCTCCACTTCAGTTTATTCGAGATCCCTGAGAGAATGCAGTTCATGGCTACTAATTAGATTTTGTGGACACTAACAACCACAATCAATGGTTGTTAGTGTTGGTAGAATGAAACCTATGATATACCTGGGATAACAGAAGCATGTGATCTTGATCGGGTGTACCTTCATCCCCCATAACTAAGATTAAAATACTAAAACAATGTTGCACATTTCCACACTCCTTGCCCAAACTAAATATGTTTCAGCCTTAATCGAGAATGCTCTTCTAATGCGTTAGTAGGGGTAATTAACTATGAGGGCTTGTGCTCATAGGACGTAGAACCTAGATCCAAAAAAATCTTGACACTACTCTCAAGGGAAATCTGGCTAATTTAAAATCCAATATACCTCAGGACAAATAAGGAGACCTTTAGCTTGTGAGGGTGAGCTTTGCTCCTATTTTAAATATTTTTCCAGAGCGAACATCCATTTGCAATTAGTTTTTGTTCTTTTAAACTGTAATTTGAGCTATTTATAATATTGCAAAGTGTCTTACTAATCTTGTTTCGAGTGCTAGACTTCATTTGCCATCTAAATTTTCAAAATTTTAATATTATCATTGATTGCTAATTTGCTATTTTTATCCACAGGCCTATGTAGATTCAAGTGTCATTATGGGACAAACAGGCTTATTCCAAATGGACATTGAAAAGTATGGAAATATTGAGTATATGAGATGCTCACCAGAAAATGGTTTTTTTCCTAATCTATCAACCGTATCACGAGCAGATATCATATTCTTCTGTTCGCCGAATAATCCAACTGGATCTGCAGCATCTAGAGATCAGCTGACAAAACTGGTGCAGTTCGCTAGAGACAATGGATCCATCATTATATATGACTCTGCTTATGCCATGTATATATCTGATGACAGCCCGAAGACAATCTTTGAAATTCCTGGAGCTAAGGAGGTAAGCTGGATGGCTTTTTCTGATTTTTTGGTGTTCAGTGAGTTTACTCCGACTGGATTACTCACGGCTTTATGTTTATTTCAGCTTTTCGTTTTATTCTTTAGTATTTTTTCTTGGTGTTAATATTCATGCTTTCAAATATAATATCTTTTTTGTGCATGTTCTCTACCTATTCATTGTCAGACTTGTTGTGATTTTATAGATGAGATTTTCTGTCAAGCCTACACTTCACATATTCCCAGCTTGTAACAGTTAAATCTTATCAGGGATTGTGGTTGGCTAGTCATCAAATAATTCTATCTTACCACAAACATCTATTCATAAAAAATGGGTGAAATTGGGGGATGGCTGGCTTTCCTTACCATTTTTAACTGAGCTATTCATTTGCAGAATTACCTCCTTCCCCAACATGTAGCGCCTTCAATGCTTTACTTTTAATACAAGGTGAAAAGCTCCTTATCGTAGTCAGATAATTCTTGTGGGTACCCTATATCAGCTATGATTGGTAAGCCACATGTTGATCATCCTGTATAGTATGACACCATTGGCATAGTTAGATGTCATTGTTTCCAACACAGATAGTTGCTGGAGTTTAGGAAGGGCAAGTACCGACATTTTATTAATATTGTGTCAGGAAATACTTGAGTTCGCAAGCAATCCTAACAATAATCGGTAAAAACAGCAAGGAAAACAAAAGAACTTTGATGAACAAAACTCTCCAAAACAGTAGATTACACTATAGGACTTCAAACAAGATAAGAACAAAGCAAAGATACAAGTGATCCTCGATTCGAGAGGAGGATCGTTCTCTCCCAATCTCTAGACAAGAAATCTAGAGCCCAAGACACCCAAGAAGCTACAAGAGAAACAAATCAAAGCATGCCCTAAGCCACCCCCTTCATGCCTGTTTATAACCCTTAAATCTAATTTAATAATATTTCCCTCCAAGCCTTTGCAAATTTAAATAATTTCCCCCCAAGCCTTTGCCCCCCCCCCCCCCCCCCCCCCTTCAAAAAAAGGAATTTTTTTTTTATTAAATCAAATAGGGGTGTGGACCCCCTTAGGCTTAGGTGGCAAGAGGAGGCGGTTCAAACCGCCTCCCGTAAACAATGGCCGGCCTAGGTGGGGACGGCTGGAGGCGTTGGGGAACCGCCTTATCATATTCCTTCTCAACAACCGGGTTTTTTTTTTTACTTAAACCGATTGCAAGGGGTGGATATAACCTTATAAGTTCGTGAAAGGGGGTGACCACACTGAGATCTGTTGGATGAATTTCCTCAAACTGACCAACATTTATGCAGCTCTGCTCTTCTGAAATGATGGATGAATTTTTAAATCTATTTTTGGCTATCCTCTGCTCACTGTGAAGCAGAGGTGGATATGTTTGAGTCTTTGAGATCAAGTATAAAGTTGGCTTCTTGTGGAAGCCTTGAAACCTGCCAATGGTATTGCAACTGTACCTCCCAGTTATTGTTATACATCAAGATATTTTCTAAGTAAACAATTGTAAATTTATCTAGAAAAGGGTGAATTATTTTATTAATCTCATGATTGTTTGATGTGAAACCATCAAGAATTGCACGAGGAAATTGTAAAGAACTACAAAGTTTGCTACTAGTAAATTAAAGTTTCACGAGACGAGATTCAAGAACTCTCCATTGTCAAAATTATTATGATAAGCAATTACAAACTTGATGTTTGGGCACAATTGACGATAAATCTTGAAATTCTCACAATAAGACAAATGCAAAGTAAAATATAATCCCACGGCTAATGTTTAGAAAATTCACAATGAGTTACCTTGCTCACTCACACTCAAGTAGGGCTTAGCGGAAGGTCTTTAGCATACCCAACGATGCCACGAGGACGGTAGCAACCCCAACGGCCTTGAGACACGGAAAGGTTGACGGTGGCGAGGATGGTGGGAATGGTTGACTGTCGATACTCCAATCGTAGTTTGGAAGTTGGCGGTCGATGACGCTCGCAAGAGTAGGTACAACTCGATTCAAATATTCTCCAACTGTGGCGTCGTCTTCAAATCCCACGTCGAAGAATGGAGATCGTAGGATGTTGAGATTTTCGTAGGCGTCAAACACAAGTCCCCACTCAAGTTCGGGATCTGCCATTCAACATTGAAGTGGAGGTTGAAGGCGTCGTCTTCTTCTTCTCTTGCTTCAATTTCCCAAGGGAGGGAGTGGGGAGAGGGTCGGCCAAAGTAGAGAAGGAGGGCGGCGGGTGAATTGGATGAGGAGAATTGGGTTAGGAGAGGGGAGGAGAAGAGTTACACAAATCTGAAATTAACTTCAGAATTTGAGTAATTAGGAGGGGAGCAAATATGAAATTGATTTCAAATCATCAATAGAATTAAGGGGCAATTAATGGGCATTAATGGGGCCCATTAATGGAGGGGCCAGTGGGCTCTAGAGAGAGGGAGAGAATGATTTCAAAACTTGAAATTAAATTCAGGTTTTGAATGAAATTAGGGGAGAATTAATTTGAAATTGATTTCAAATTAGTGGGTAATCAATGCATTAATTGGTGCATTGAATGGGGCTTCATCTAGGGTGAGGCCGGCGGCTTCTAGAGAGAGGGAGGAGGTGTGGGAGATTACTTTCTTTCCAAAATGAGTTTGAGACTTATGGAGGGAAAATAATGAGTCATTTATTTAGACTCAGTTTGAATTTTAAATTCGAAAAACTTCCTTATTTGAAAGTTTGCAAATAAGGAAAGTTTTGATTTTTGAAATTTGAATTTCAAATTCAATAACTCATGCTTTTAATGCGGGGCCTCAATCAAGGATCCATTATGACGATTGATATCATCATCATGGTTAGAGGCAAGGGGGTGGCCGGCGGCCAAAGGGGGAGGAAAGCCTTGCCGTCGGGTTTGGGGGATCTCGATGGAGCTTGGAGTTGTAGAGGGTGAAACTAATGGGTAAAGTGGAGGAGGATTGAATCTCGGGTAGAGATTGGCGTGGGAAGTGAGAAAACAAGCGTAGGAGAAGGAAATACAAGATAAACTAAAACCACGAGCCGAGGACGCTTCCAACGACTGGTGGGTAATGCAATCGCTCACCCTGAGCTCAATCACCCTTCTCTAGCTCTCATGCAAGAAGAAGAAGACAGCATAAGAATTTCATTCCAAATATCCATTAACCATTACATGAGAAAGTGGCCACATATATATAGGCCTCACAAAGACAAATAAACAAAAGATGAAAATGCCCCTCGGGTTACAATAATGACCAACTACCCACAAGGATAAAAACGGAAATTGACGAAATAAACTGAAACTGAAATGAATAATACATAAAATGTGTCAAAATACATAAAGTGAGTCAAAAGTAGAGACTCTCCATCGTGGCCATCGTTCTCCGGTGTCGCCTCTGATAAACGCATCGAAACCTCGGATTGACGTCCCCATCATTGTTGTTGGCGCTTTGCAAAATCCAAGTGGCATCACTTGTCATTCAAATAATTTTACCTTGTTTTGAAGGCAATCTCTTAGGTATTTTTTTCATTAAACTGGATATGGTGGTAGCCGAGTTTTAAGTCTATAAATCAGAGTACTTGGCTAGATGCAACTGTTGGATCAATTTTGATCTTCGGCGATGGATAATAGTTTTCTATGGTGATCATTTTTAATGCTATGTAGTTGATATATATCAACCATCTACTATTCTTCTTTGGCATAGTTATCATTGGCGATCTGAAGGGTGAATTGCTCCTGCTCCATCATGTCTGCAATGGATAGTCTATGAGTTTACCCGGCAAAAGAGCTCCCTTGATTTGTGGTAGCTCATCTTCCGTAGTTCTTGGTGTTAGATCTTTCATCTCCTAGAAAAGGGTAGAAAACTCTTGCAATAGCTGATTAACCTACTGGACCTATCAATCTCATGCAGGAGAAATACAAAACTAGGATTTGCGTTTATCATTTTCTTGCTTAATTGAGGGATGCATGACCAAGATAAGAGGGGGATTTGGAAATAATGTTAGTTGTGCTAACTTTTACCAATGTGAATCGTCTTCCTTGATAGTGGATTGTGCTCTCAAAGGTATGGATTATTGAAGATCATATGTCACACATCAAGGGGCAAAATCTCACATGACTTTGTCAAATTGTTGCTTTGTGATTGTGAACTTGAGGTGCATTATTTGTCCACCTTATACTGCACTTCTTGAACCGTCACACCGGCAACACGAGATGCGATGAAGAAATAAAAATATCTGTTTTGTACTCACAAAAGAGAAAAGTGCATGAACTAATAATATAACCAGTTTATATGAGAGTAAATAATGGAAAGGATACTAAATATTCATTTCATTAATAAGAATTCAAATAATAGTGCACCAAAGAAATAATACCTATATAAACAAAAGAAATGTAAATAGAACAAATAATAAGAAAGAAACTATCCAGCCCACAAAGCAAAACATATAATGGTCTACAACAACAACAACAAGCCTTTGGGTACATGAATTATTTTTCTTCATTGTGTTCTGTTAAGAGTTAAATTCTCATCTAAATCTAATAAAGGAAGGTCATTTCTGATATTTTCTAACCAAGTTTTTTAGGTCTACCTCTTCCTTTCTTAACATAAGTCAAATCTAATACATCTACTTTCCTAACCGGCTCATTGGAAGGCTGACGTTTTATGTGACCAAACCATTTAAGGCGACTCTCTCTAATCTTATCTTCCACTGGAGCTACTTTAACCTTTTCACGTATACACTCATTTAGTATTCTGTCTCTAAGAGTAAAGTCACTCATCCACCTGAGCATCCTCATCTCTACAACACTTAACTTAATATTATGCTTCTCTTTTAATATCAACATTCTGCATCATAAAGCATTGCACCATAAATAATGATCTACTACAGAATATAAAGTACCAAATAGTTTATTGCTGATGAATCTACTCTTGAAGTAATTGTTTGCTAAGAAACAACCCCTCAGGAAGAACAAGTGCAGTATGATCAAATTGAAGGCGCAAACTCCTCACATAATGAGTAAGAGGAGGAAAAGGAGACCTCTTGCTTGCAGACGCTATTATGTTGTCACAAGCGCTGAGGCATATAAAGCGTCAAATGAAAGAAATGATAGGGAAATCTAGCAGCTAAATGTTGGGATGAATGAAA